TCAGAAAGTTCCCTGTTAGTGTCAAAGCTTTCTGGAGTAATGGAAGAACTTAAGGAGGTCTGAGGTGGCCAGAGAGAGGACATTTGGCTCACCAAGGTGGCTTTCTGCTGTGTGGGTCATCAGGGAGGAATTTCAGATACAGTTCAGCCCAGATGGGGCACAGTTGGACTAAGGTGATTGTGAGAGGAACTTTGCCTCAACCCCTACATCCTGAGTACAGGGAAGGCATGCCTGAGAGAGATGGAGGCAACTCTGGCTGGATCAGGATCAGGGACATCCACTTCCATTTTCAGGCAGCAAATTTTAGTTTTATGACAAGAGAACTCTGACAGAAGTTGACATTATTCCAAAGAGCAAAGAAAGACTAATTTTTCAGCTTATGCAAAATGATTCCCACAGAGTATGTATGTTGGGAGGTTGTGGGTGATTAAAACAATTTGATATGTTAGAATGGAAAGTAATCTTAACAAGTTGGAAGTTGGGGTTAGCCATTGTGTGGAGAAAGCTGAATTTCATTTTAGCAAAGGAGAAAAAGAAGAAAGGAAAAGCCTTCATATTAAAAATCAGATCCAGAAATCCTGAAGCTATTTCTGTGGTGGGCAAATGTTTTCTTTATTTCCTCGCCTTTTCTTCCTCCTCCTTCTTTTATTTTTTTCCTGTTATCTTTCTTTTACAAAACCCTTTAGACTGCAACACATTGCTAAGAAGATTTCTTGCAATGCAATGTAGTGAGGATCAGAGTTTTCACAATTATCAATGAGCCCACTTTCATAATAACTGTACCACATTAAAAAATCATGGAGTTAAAGCTGCAGAGAGACCTGGTTGGGAATGATAAGCCAGAGGAGATGGAGTATAGAATGGGGGTCTAAAAATTAAAGGATCTTGCCTCACTTACTGATGAGTATTTTTTCTATGTGCCAGACATTGCACTGAGACCATCTAAGCCCCAGGTTATGCATAGACATCACAACACACATGTGGGGCAGATAGGTATTGTCATCCTGGTACTGCAGATGAAAAAACTGAAGCTTAAAATAACTTGCCTGTAGTCAGTGCTCTTACAAGGGATGCTTTTAGAGGATAAAAAGACATCAAACACATACTGCTTGAATTTGGCCAATCAATTGAAACGGAAATGCCACAAAACCAAGCATTAATTATCCTAAACAGGTAACCAAGTTATTGACATTGATAACCCAAGGCAAATTTATTCTAAAGCTCTATTGACATCTATATTAGCCAAATCAATTACCATGATTATGCCTGTAGAGTGAGATGTTTATCAACAGAATTTCGGTAAAAAAAATAAGATATCAAGAAGAGAAAAAAGATACTATGATCATCAGGTACTCTGGTCCCCCTGCTGTCCTTTCTTAAGCCCATCCAAGCTATAATTAATTAAGGCCAAGTTCACTGTCTACTTCTGTTATTTCTACAGGCCCTCCTTCGGGAGCAGAGCTTTATGGTTTTCCTCATTTCCCCATACACCTGATTCAAATACAGGGTGTTCCAAAAATATATATACAGGGTATCTGTAGATTTGATTACATTTTGAAAATGAAATGTATTATTTAATAAACACTGCCTTTATTATTCAAAGTTGTGTATATATTTTTGGGGGACACCTTATACTTCAGTATAAAACATGAAGACTCATTTCACCAGACTGCTTTCTGGCCATTCCAGTCAAATCTTTTACCTACAACAAGCAGGTTGGATAAGATCAAGCTTCTGCAGTTCACACATTATTGCCAGATATTTCTGTGAAAATATAGATGGACCTGTAAAATGTCCATTTATCTTTCCCATTTTGTTATATTTAATTGTTGAGTATCTTCCATTTTTACGGTTGGAATAGAAACTAACACTAAAATGTAGTCAGGAAAACACGTTTTGCTTACAAATTCACCCAAATGGAAGGTGGAGAAATTAATGGCTGGGCCATATAGACAATTCAAGGTGTTATGATGGTTTGGTATGTACATGTGATATAAATGACTCATCAAAATTTGACCTTTGCTTTCACCTTTATTCGTATTAAAGGTTGTTTTCCTATTCTGGCAGAAACCTGATTCTCATATATTCAGAAAGAGAACTAAATGTGAAATCAACTGTGTAGGAGACAAGAGATAGCTAATTTCTATCTCATTTTGTCTTTGATGCTGAATTAGTTGGCTGAAAATTGCAGTAGGACCAATCTATAAGAGAGAAGATCACAGTAACCTTAAGTTGAAAGACACAGCTGCAAGTTTCTTAGAAAACACCTACTGAAACCACTTCATTTAAAGATCTCGTGTAAAGGGGGTATTATCTATCCATCAATTACAAATTTGAAGATGCTGGCTATCTCAACCTCTTAACCTTCATCTAGTGGGAAGGGGCTGGTAAATTATGATGCTCTCAACAAAGAAACATCAGCTATTGACCATGTTGAAGTCTGCCACTGTAAGAAGAAAAAACAAAAACAAAAACAAAAACAATTCTAGCCTTATTATACCATTTGATTTCTTCCATGTTTTAAATATAAAATATACCATAGTTTTAAAATAATGTCTATCATTTGGACCTTTGGTTGGAGTGTGTATGTGTGTGTGTGTATCCCAGTTGAAATAATAAATTATATGGTCATTCTTTGCCAAATAAATAAAGACATGATTTAAAATAAACAACTATGGCACAAAGAGTGCACTTTCTGTGCTGAGTAATTTTGCAGTACCTGGAGCTTTTTTCCTCAATGATATCACACACACACACACACACACACACACACACACACACACCTGTGAGGGAAGTCTAAACTGTAGCTTTCATTTTCTAGTTCCAAAATACAACAGATAATTCACATGCCATTACATATTCTATGCAGAGTTTATGTGTGATGGAGCTAAAATATGGTTTTCTAAGAATAAAAGCTTTTCCTTCTACTAGTTCCAAAAACCAGAGGAAACCTATGACATGCTTTCACTGTAGGACTGAAATGTCCTCTTTCAAGGTTAAAGGCATAATAAATATAGCAGAAAACGATGCTTCCACTGACACTCAGTAACAACCTCTCATCCATTCAAATATGTTTATGTTGTGCCTTTGATGGGCCATACCTGTAACAGGCATATCTTGAAACTGCAGAAAGCACAGAAAACTAGAAAAAGCACAGAACCTTTGGGATGAAAACCCATTTCTTCACAGAAAATTTTTAACTATAGGGTATTTTATATGCAAAAAAATAATGGCTGGTATCTATTAGCTCACAATCAAAGTAAGCATGGAGCACACATGTATGGACTTTCAGCTGTTTGGAATTTCTGAGGGGACTTTCATCTCAGCCATACTCATGTGACTTCCAGTAAAAATAAGCTTTGGCAGTGTTGACTGGAAACAAAGGTGATGTGCTTGGATTTGGGTTCCCAATTAGATGAGTCTAACAAGTAGTCTATTACAGGAGAAAAAACAGGATTTTATCTCCTTAAGAGTTTATAATAATGGAAGCCAGAGAAATGAGTAATATCTCTATAATGACTTTCTCATTTCCTTTTCTGTGATGCATCTACATTTATCAAAGCACCCCCAAAGAATAAGTAGCATTATGTTAAAAGGTAAGGCCATAATGTATTTAACAAGAGCTATAAAATGTTATTTTATTTCATAAAAGAAGTTGTATTAAAATTCACTCCCTCCTTGAAGCAGACCATAGTAAATAATCCAAACAAATGCCATGAACCAAAGTTTACTCTTCTAACTGAGCACAGCTTTTATATAGACCATTCATAAATCTAAACAAATGTCTACAGTAAAGCCTGAAGACAGTCTGAGACAATACATTTATTTTGCTAATCATTCCAAAACAACTAAACTAAGACTTAAACATACCCAGGCCAAAATAAATGGTTAAAGAACAAAAACGTACAGATAAGATAGAGTTTTTGTTTTGTTTTTTCCCAGTACCCACCTGACATCATACATAGTTATTACAATATTATTGACTATATTCTTGATGCTGTACTTCACATCCCCATGCAAATTTGATAACTACCAATCTGTACTTCTCAGTTCCTTCACCTTTTTTATCCAGTCCCCCAATATCCCACCCCTCAGATAGACCTTTTCTAATGATCTATGACCTTTTTTTTTTTTTTTTTTATCTTCACCCGAGGACATTTTTACACTTTTTATTCAGACAGAGCGGGAGGAGAGAGAGGAAGAGAGAGAGAGAAACATCGATGTGAAAGGGACACATCGAGTGGCTGCCACCCGCACGACCAACCAGGGCCAGGGACAAACTGCAACCGAGGTAAATGCCCTTAGCGGGAACCGAACCAGGGTCTCTCTGGACCGCAGGCCAATGCTCTAACCACTGAGCCAAACCAGCCAGGGCTGATCTATGACCTTTATATGTAATAGACAATAGTTAAGGGAACCAATCCTAGCTCGGTTCTCAAGAACAAATGGTATACATTAAATGTTCTCTGTCAGTGAAATACTTAATAAATTCAGTTCATATTTGTTCCAAAATAACACTGATGGGGAATGTCCTTCAAAAGGGTTTTCTGAGCTAATTGCTATTGTCAATGCTCATACAGGTTTAAGACAAATACTGCTAATTTGTGCCACAAACCAGGCACAATTAGAATAGCCTTGGTAAATGTTCGATTAAATCTTAACAACTGCAAAGTATAAGCCACATCCTCCCCTCCCCTAACAGATATCTCAGTATCTCAAAATTCTTGGAATTTTCATAAGGGTTAAACCCTACAGTCCATTTCAAAAATAAGGTGATTGAGGTATGCCCTGGGATAAAATTAATATGCACACTAACAATGTTCTATCTAGTGTTTCAATATGCTAAAGAAGAATTACCATGCCATTAGGCTAATAAGCTGGATTTCAATTGCTCATGAATGAATAAATACCAATTTATTGATATTTTCAGTCATATTACAAACTCACACCTTATTTTCCAATTGATATTTCACCCTGCTTCACAATGCTAATATATTTACCTTCATTTTTCTTGATAGTAAAATTCGGATTGTTGGCCATTTCTGGAAGAAGACTGTATAAGAAATAATGCCCATTTTTGGGATCATCTTTGTCCATGGCACTCACTGTTTGAATGACCTGAAACATAAAACTTGACATTAGCATTTCTGAAAGCATCAGTGGTATGAGCTGCCTTTCATCTTTTCCATTTTCTAAATTGTCATGGATAGTTTGTGCCAAGAATAAGGAGAAACACTAACCACTTTAAAACCTCAGCTTTGCCTACTTGGTAAAAATTAAGGCCATTACTTTTGTGTCCATTTGGTGTCTGGGGCTTGAAATAACATATGTGAGGCTATTTGAAAATTTCCACTCGGCAATCCTATTGTTTCTCTCCAATTTGAGTCTATACAGGCATCTAGACTGAGATTTGGAATTGTTACAGTGAGTGTAGTGTGGCCACGGGGATGATCCAGGAGGTAAAGGACTTAAATCTTGAATCTTCACAATTCCTCTTTACTCTTCCTCATGCTGTTGCAAATGTTTGCCAACTAGAATATTCCTGGGCATGAACATCACTGCAACAAATCTTTCTGAAGACTTGAATCTGTCCCCCCCCCCCCCCAGTAATGAACACTGTTTTTAAAGCTAGTGGATAACACATGCAAACAGTGCTTTGGAGTGTATCATGAGATGAATAAATTACAAGGATTAGAAGAATTACCACTGAGCAGAGAACTGTTTGGATAGATACGCATACTTAGGTGCCGGATGAAGGTGCTTATTTCATTTGCAAAGCTGCATTAACTTAGGGCTAAGTTATTTCTCGGGATGTCGCTGAATTAGCTTAATAATTCATATTTATGGTTCTGTGATATTAATTACTTTAATACAAAATCCTGGGCAACAGCTAGAAAACGTTATAGCTTATACTTCATTATGAAACTACAACACAATTTCTACAAGAAATGCCTATGAAGCATGACAGTCAAGGTGATATCAGGTTTACCATTAAAAATGAACAGGGAAGTGCTCTCACGCTGATGAAATTTAGAGACTGGAATGATGATGCCTAATATCTTATGTTTGTTTGAACAACTATATCCCATTCAACTTTGCCAATGTCATTAAAGAGAAAAAATGGATTGCTTCTTTTTAAGAAAGAGACATCTTTGCCTTGTAGCGTGTCACCTACACAATGCAAGAAGCACAGTTTCAGAACACTTTTAGCAGCTGTGGAGATTTGCATCGCATCAAGCACAGGCCATATGACAAGCAGTGCATTAAGATTGAGGTACAAAGGAAACGATCTCTCTGTTCTATTTCTCCATTTTTAAAATAAACCTATCTCACTATGTAGGTGTTTTACTTTTGTTAAGGACCTTATGAAATGTCTTATCACTGTACTTAGCTTGAGTAACAATATAACAAAAAAAAGCACAGGAGATAACTCATGGTTAAAACAGAGAAGTAGTCATTAAGGTGACAGATTGAAATAAAGCCATCTTGATTGAAGTCATAATTTCACCCTTTACTCATCAGGAGCCGTTGAACTCTGAAACTCAGTTTCTTTGCATTCTAAATTACAAATAACAGGAGTACCTTTCTGATAGGGTTGCTTTGATTACTGATATAAATTTATGTCAGTTTCTTAATATATTGTGTGGGTTACAGTAATGCTCAATGAACATTAGTCACCACCATTATTATTGTTTTTGACTTTAGGGTCAGTCACTATCATTTATTTAATGACACGGCACCTTGATAAGTGTAACAACTTTGATGTTATCTAAAGAGGTCCCCGGTCTCATCAGATTAGATGAGAATGCCATTATGTTTGCTATATATAATCACCTAGCATACCTGCCTTGACATTTAAGTGCATAGAGATACCCGGGGATTCCAAGTTTATCAAAATGAAAGAATAAAAAGTACCAAGAGAGAAGCTGTGAAACACAGATAACTCTTTTTGGACAGCCGGCACATATAAATATTTATCAGGAGAATGTGATAAGATCCTTCTTTTAGGCAGTCTTAAATAATAGAGTGGGAAGAAGTGACTTGTGAACAGGTGTGGCATCCCCTTCTCCCTTTACCCAATTTTTCTTCAAAAGGATCTCTACTGCCAAGTGCACCTGCTGAAAAAGTAACTCATGAAGTGTGTGAGCACATGTGAAGAATGAAGGTAAATAGAAGATTCCTTGATATTCTGTGGTAGAATTCATTCATAAACTAAATGCATTCTTATAGTACAGTTAGTGTATAGGACTCTTATATGTAATAACTTTCTTAATAGTTCTAAGTAATCTACATGAAAAAGACATACATGCTGGCTAGTGCCTCCACACAAATGATTTGATTAATTAAGCCACCACTACAAAACCAACAACAAAAAAAGCAATAATTTAGCTTACCTGAAGTAAAGGAATATAATTACTTTTCATACCACATCTCAGAAATTTGTCTAAACATTACACCTTCAATGAACATTTCTTTCCATTATTTATTTAAGCCAGTAACTCTGTTAGACGTGCAACTTTTTAAGCCTACTCAACCACTCAACCACAAAGTTTCAGGGTGGAGCCTAGAAATCTGCATTTTAAACAGTCTTCTAGGTGATTCTTCTGCGTGCTTAAGTCTGAGAACTGTCTTGAGCCCCAGGAGGAGCTGGTATTCAGAGCTCCCACATTGTTATTCACTAGGATCATTTGTATTGTCAACCTCAGGGCATAATGTATAGAGAAAAAAATGATGAAATGGCAAATCTGCAAACCAACTTCCAAATATCCTGTGAACTAGTAACAATTAAAACTTCGGTTTAAAGCGTTTTTGACACTTCATTTTATTTTAATGCAGATGGTCACTGTCTGGTCATTTTATCTCAGAGTAGATGTCTGGTAGATCACTTGAAGGACTTTATGCTATTAAAATGCATTAAGGTACCCATATTAAAAAGGCTGAAATTTTTATTGATGTGAGAACATCTGAATACACTTAGCTTTAATCGACAGAAGAAAAAAAAAAAAAAGAACATATTTATTTAAGGAAGTGCCCCTCCACACAAGATTTCACGGGACACCCAAGAGATGGTCAAGGAAAACTCTACATATTTCCCACTGTGAGCTACTATGACATCAATGAATTTTTAAGTAATTGGACAAGTGTTTTATGACAATGACAAAAAAAAAAAAAAAAATTCCAGAGTATTCATAGGTTTTTAGGAGTACATGTAAAGCATGTAGTTAGAAGATTTTCCTATCTACCAATACATTTAGAATACAATTAAAAAATCTAATGTTTAATAACTTATTGTAGAATAATGTAAAGGGAAGCTGAAAGCTAATACATATCTCTATCAGAAAATTAAAGCACAAGTGGAGATTGGAATAAGGAAATGAATTTCAGAGCTGTGCTTGGACTTCTATGAAAGCAGATTGCTCTATTTGTTTTTCTGAGACTACTGATTTGAAATAACCTAAGGCATGAAACAGAAAAACTATGAGAACTGTGGGACCATACCATAGTTCTGACTCTGTTTTTAAAAGAACTACTCACTGTTTATCAGTAACACTAAACTTAATTTGGAGACTTACTAGCAGAATTTATTACACTTTATTTGGGACTATATTAACACAAAAATATTTAATAGCAGTAGGCCATTACTGTCATTAATAATTTCTTAAAAGGTAAGATCTGATGTTCTGATCTGTTAACAACCATAAACTATTATGACTTCTATTAGAATATCTCCTATCAGTTCCTGTCTATGTTATTCATTGATTTGTTCTTAGGTGATGAATCTATGTTTTATTTGTTTCCCCTTCTCTGCTATTTCAACAGTGTCTGGTGCATGGTGGCTATTTAAGAAGTATTGTGTAAATGAATAAATGGATGGATGAATAAATAAATTATGCTAGGCATGTTTTAGCCTTATCACTAATTCTTGCATGGCCTGACCTTGAGAGATAGGTACGAAGAGACTTAGATATTATATATAACATCTGATTCCCAGATACATCTGATAACAAACTCCTTTCATCCTCCTGCCCCAATATGTCAGGCTGCCTCAAAATCTTATTGACATTCATATCTCTGCACATGCATTTTGGTTAAATTGGGGCTTAGACCTTCAAGATGTTGGAGAGTACATAAGTAAGGATGAACTCAATCATTTGTGCTGTTCATGTACTTTGCTTTATGGGTATAAAGGTTCCCTTCTGATTCTAACAGTACATCAAAGGGAGACTTAGAAATCATGGTTCTTTGTGTGGGCAAGGTGAGAGATGACTAATCTGCTGCAAATGTCAGAACATTCCCCAAGGCTTCTGGAATACACATCTATTCTCCAGGAATACTCAGCAGCCGTGACCAGGATGGATTCTGCAATCACAGCACACCACCACTTTTTCAGGTCACACTTAACTTTTTCTTTCTTAAAAAATTTTTCTGTAACAGGGTGAATTGGAAGGTGGTGGAAAGAGGGTGAGGGGCAGAAGAGCAAGTCAAAGGAGGTGCAGAAAGGACAGCAGTGAGTTTTGGTTTTCTATTCAGTGTTCTGCGTATCATTGCCTGTTTATTTCTGATTACCTGTATGAGCTTTCCAGAAATACTCATTTATATTTCTCAGAGTAGTAGTTTTAAATGTGCAAAAGGAAAAGCTGATCCACTAATAAGCATCATACGGTGCAAACCTTTGTACTTGAAAATAAAATGGAAACAGACCAAAAGGATGAGTACCAGAAGTGAGGGGGTGGGGGATGGGTGAAAGGGGAAGAAGAATATAATCAATAATATTGTGGTACATTTACATAATGACAGATGTTGACTAGAATTAGTAGGTGATCATACTGTAAGGTATATAAAAATGTCAAATCACTATATTTTACACCTGAAACTAATATAATCAATATAAGATTGTATACCAATTATACATAATTTTTTTAAAAAGTGAAATTATATGAAATTATTTATATATGTGCATATATGAGAGGCAAATCCATAGCTTTCAACAATGCCACCCATAACTGAAGGAAAAAACAAAAATAAAAAGGTTAAGAACTATTCCCTAAAAGAGGGGGCTTAGAAAATAAACTTATGCATACAAGAGAAAGCAGGTAATCACATGGATAATAAATTTA